GGACCCAGTGGGGTCTTCCCAACATATTCACCTCATGCTGAGCCTGATTCGCTGACACAGTACCTTTACTTTCCCCTTTGATCTGCCTGTTTTAGACTTGGGTTTCCTCTATTTATTTATCAAGGGGGGAGGGGCCTTATAAATCACTTGTACTTGGCACCTACAAGAACAGAGCATCATCATAGTCAAAGTCACCATGTACTGGTTTCTTACTAGATGCTCCGTAACTTGTGCACACTCTCCTATTTGCTCTTTACAACAACCCCAAGAGAAAGGGGGATGGTATTGCTCCGTCTGACAGAGGGCACTCAGAGGGTACCAGGGGGCACTCAGAGGGTACCAGGGGGCACTCAGAGGGGACCAGGGGGCACTCAGAGGGCACCAGGGGGCACTCAGAGGGGACCAGGGGGCACTCAGAGGGTACCAGGGGCACTCAGAGGACCAGGGGGCACTCAGAGGGAACCAGGGGGTACTCAGAGGGTACTCAGTACCAGGGGGCACTCAGAGGGCACCAGGGGGCACTCAGAGGGCACCAGGGGGCACTCAGAGGGTACCAGGGGGCACTCAGAGGGCACCAGGGGGCACTCAGAGGGAACCAGGGGGCACTCAGAGGGAACCAGGGGGCACTCAGAGGGAACCAGGGGGCACTCAGAGGGAACCAGGGGGCACTCAGAGGGAACCAGGGGGCACTCAGAGGGAACCAGGGGGCAAGGTGCGCATCCATACCGCACAGTTAGTGATGGGGAAATGCGGGATTCACACACCAAGTCCCTCCTTTCAAAGGCGCGCTCTTGCCCACGGGACTGCTGTCCCTAGAAGAATCAGGGTGAGCAGGACTGGGAGAGGGTCACCCCGTTTTGGAGCTGCCACCCCAGCTCCACACTCTCCTACTCCCAGGCCTTTCTCTCACCTCCATCAAGATGCCACATGACTCTCTGCATCTCCAGCCGTCAGCCCCATGGCATTCCTTCTGTGTCGCTGGGCAGACCGCCTGTTGGACACAGCCGTTTCCCAGCTCACACCACCAACCCCTGCAGGACCCCGCGGCGGCCTCTCCCAGTGATGGCCGAGGCCATGCTAAATATATCTGAGCACTCACCCTGGTGAAATTCCTTCCTGAAGGCTGGAGGTGGGGTGGGAGGTGCTGGCCTCACTGTGTAGATAAGGAGAGAGCTTTACTGACTCAGTGAATGGCTTAGCTGCGTCCTGAGGCATGGGTCTTTCAGAACCTATTCCAGGGTATGGTCTCATGAAACATACCAAGTGTGTCTGATGATAAGTTCCATGCAAATGTAAGGTCCTTGTAGCTTGCGAGGAGTTACATGGGACTGCCTTGCCACGGCGAGGGTTTGTATCTGCCTCCCCCGTGGCCCCGTGGCCCCATAGATGAGCAGCCAAGAGCTCCACGTCCCCTGCTCCTTGGCCCCTTGCCTGGACTCCTCGTCCTTACTTGTGAAAGTGCCAGTGACATCTGACGCATGCTCCCTGGGGCAGGTGGTGTCTCTCCCCCCCCCCCCCAACCCCCCCATGAGAGAGCAGCTACAGGTGGAGGGGGATACCTGCAGCAAGGCAGGCAGCCCCCCTGTAGAAACAAAAGTTCACGTTCAGGCATTATTTCTTGGTGGCTGGCATTTTGCCACTGACACCTGGCAAGTCTCACCCTGCCCATACCCTGTGCCCTAGCCGGCTCCTCCTGGTAAACCAGGAGATCAGGCAGCCTGGCATCTAAGGCTGCTGAGGTTGGAAGGTGCCATTGGGACCCTCTCCAGCAGCCCCCCCACCCCCCACCCGTGGGAAAGGTCTTTCTAGGGGAAAGAGAATCCTAAGGAAGAGAAAACAGGGTGAGACCTACCATCCTTGACCATGGGAGACAGCTGCATGCCTGCCATCTCCGCCCATCGGCTGAGTGGTATCAGCTCCCTCCCTCAGTGGAGAGTTAAGCTTCTTGCTCTGCATCCTGGGAAATTCTGAAGCCACAGAGCATGATTTGATGTTCCCTTGCCGCTCACTCTAAATATGAGGGTTGTACCTGGTCCTGCCCGGGCTTTTGGGGGGCCTCCAGGAGTGATTCAGGATCCCCTGTGGAAGGTGCTTATGTATTGGTGGCAGGTCCTTGGACCAAGATGGCTTGAAAGCTACTGAGTCCTGGAAAGAGACTGACCCCAGCCCCCCCAGGTGCCTCATCGAAGGGAGATGAGGTTTATTAACAGGGACCTTAGACATGGAGAGGTCCCTGGGGATCCTGCAGAAGGGGTGTCAGGCAGCTCTCCCATCCCAGCGTGGGAGGAGAGGTGAGAGGAAGCACGCACAGCCCTCACGCCCACTGTGCAGGCTCCTGCAGAGACACGGGGCTGGGAGCACATACTTCCTCCCTGAGTGAGTCTGTCCACCCTTAATACTGGAAACTTTAGCCCTTGCCTTGGTCCTGTAGGCCTGGACCGTGCACTGTAGTTCCCGTTACTCCTCGACCAGAGGAAAGGGAATGAACCGCCTTCTAATCGTGACCTTAGACACAGCAGAGGCTCCTACCCTTCCAGCAACTCGCTCTCTCCCTGTGATGCGTTTCCTGCCCACATGCCCCTGCGCGCCAGCATCAACTCCAGCCCCTCTCTCTGTTCGCCTGTGAGCCGCCGGGAAGCAGAGAAGTTTTCACCCATCAGGTAGAAGAGTCACTTTAGCTAGGAGACCAAGGAAACGGAAACAAGCTCCTGACACAGTGAAGGCTGAGACCCTGACGAGAGACGACCTGTGTGTCCCAAGGAAGGACAGTTGTTGACACTAATATCTGTATGTTTCTGTCCCTGCAGCCTTAGGAAAATCCAAAGGTACAGTATCCTGGGTAGCTGCAGGCCATGTTCAGTCTGAACGCTGAGCGCACTGCGCCTCAGCGAGCTCTGCGAGGGGATGTGTGTGTGGTTGCTTGGCCGACGGACTTGAGGTGACTGTTCCCATCGTTGAAGTGGGACCTGAGCCGAGGGAGGCCACCGGCACCATCAGCCCGTCCTGCAGGGTAGGCAGGCGGGCGTGGCCTGCGGACGCACAGCTTGGCCGGTGCCCGGCCAGCACCGGGTCCTGCTGACTCTGTGCTCTGGACGGCAAGTGACAGAAAGGATGGCTGTTTAGATGTCTCCTGAGGCCGGTGCCTGGTTCTGGTCTCATGCTGCCCTTGTCCCTGTCCTGCTCCCCTGCGTCTCCCACCTGGGAGGAGCGAATGCCCCCAGAGAGGCCGCATTCGCACTGACAACAGCTGCTTTGGCAGAGGGTGAAGCGCAGCTGCCAGCTGGGGCGAGGCCGGCCGGCGGGCGGGGGGCTCCAGGAGTGGCCTGGCCATCAGGGGAGCCCTGCCTGTCTCCTCGCTCCCCTGGGCCCAGGAGGGTGCTAAGGCTGCGCTGCTGTTCTAACACCCACCTGCTTGAATGTGTCCGCTTCGTGGGGGAGGGGCGCCGTCTGTCACGCACGGGTAAGCACGTGTCTTTGTGTCCCTCACCAGCATGGGCGTGAGGGTGATGGACACGTCCTGGGTGGCGCGAAGAGGCTCGTCGTCGGCAGGCCGGAAAGGGTCGTGCGCCCCGCCCTCCACGCAGCCCCCCGCCCCTCCCGAGGAGCTGGCAGCGCCTCTGCCCTCGCCCCTTCTGGAGCAGCCCCCAGAGGACCCCATGGTGCCCTCGCTTTCTCCATCCGGCCTGGGCCTCCAGCCTGGGGCCGAGCGGACCAGGTAAGCGCGGGCATGTTCACTGCACCCACCTCCGGCCTCGTGGACATCCTCACCCCCATTTCTGAGCATTCCTGCTGGCTTCCTACATCGAGCTGGCGCCCAGTAAGCCACTCCAGCTCCCTGGGTTATCAGATGAAGGCCAGGCTTTCCAAGAAGTGCCTCCCAAGCCAACAGCAAATGTGTCAGGTGGCAGCTTGCAAAGGGGTGAGAGGAAGCTCAGTGCCCAGCTCTCCATTTCCTGTTTCCTCTCCTCCACCTTTACATTTGGAGGGGCCATTTTTACTGCTAAAGTGGGTGCCAATCAGGGAAGAATGGAGTTCATATGGTCACACTGGCCTGGGGACCTGCAGGAGGTCATGGGGTCACGCTGGCCTGGGGACCTGCAGGAGGTCATGGGGTCACGCTGGCCTGGTGACCTCTGCAGGAGGTCATGGGTCACGCTGGCCTGGGGACCTCTGCAGGAGGTCATAGGTCATGCTGGCCTGGGGACCTCTGCAGGAGGTCATGGGTCATGCCGGCCTGGGGACCTCTGCAGGAGGTCATGGGGTCACGCCGGCCTGGGGATCTCTGCAGGAGGTCATGGGTCATGCCGGCCTGGGGACCTCTGCAGGAGGTCATGGGGTCACGCCAGCCTGGGGACCTCTGCAGGAGGTCATGGGTCATGCTGGCCTGGGGACCTCTGTAGGAGGTCATGGGTCATGCCGGCCTGGGGACCTCTGCAGGAGGTCATGGGTCATGCTGGCCTGGGGACCTCTGTAGGAGGTCATGGGTCATGCTGGCCTGGGGACCTCTGCAGGAGGTCATGGGGTCACGCCAGCCTGGGGACCTCTGCAGGAGGCTGCATGGCTGTTTTCCATTCTCCTGGGGGAAGAAAAAAGAGAACCAGATCATTGTATCACTAGTTGAGTGAACATTTGCAAGACCATGTCCATCCAGAGGAAAGATGCCATTTGTCCCTTGAAGGCGCCTGCCTTCCAGCGAGCAAATATCACAAATGGTTAAGGCTCATGGTCTTGCCGGGGTCTCAGCAGGAGGTGGCTGTGCCTGGCCCTTCCTTGGAAGGGGTGTGGTCAGAGGGGTTTCTAGAAGTGGGATCTGCACAGCCAACTACTTTGTCGTTTGTTTCTACCTGTTCTCAAACAGCAATCCAGAGACCTAGGAAAGCTATGTGAAATCAGAGGCCCCTGTGCAGTCAGCTTTCCCTCACGGCCACTGCTGGGAAAGGCTGGAGACTGAGAAGTGAACCTTTTAGCCCAGTCTTTCCTCAGGTGCTCATGCACCCCCACACACGCACACACACATGTATGCATGCACATGCCTGTGTGCACACAAGCACGTGCACATGTGCACATGTCCACACATGTGGGCATACACACATGTATGCATGCATATACAAGCACGTGTGTGCGCACATGCCCACACATTCATGCACACAGACACACACACATGCATACACACCTCAAATGAAGGATTGCAGACTTTGTTTTTTCCCTTTAATGAATAGAAGGTATTTTCCTGTGAAATGGGAAATTGATGAAGGGATAGAGGACAGTCACGGAGTTGGAGAGGGTAACTGATGCTGGTGTTGGGTTGTTGCTGATGGCTCCAACTCAGAGGACAGGCGGCCCTGGCTGGGTGCTGACTATCCTCAGGTCCCTGGAGGGATGGGCTGGGAGCGAGCTCAGTGGGGAAGCAGAGGGGGTGCGGTGGGCCCTAGAGGCTGCCGAGAGGAAGTGGACCAATAGGAGACTTGCTGCAGAGGCTCCCTTTGCAGACACTCACTGGCCCCACCCTGATTTCCCATCTCTGTTTGGTGTCAACAGCATTTGGCATTAAATGATATTTCTAGAAAATGCCCCTCAAAGATAGATTCCCCGGCTCTGAGGTGTTCCCGAATGTTGTGGATGGGTGGCCTTGTGCGGTCACTCAAGGGCAGGGAACAGCGCCCACTGGTTCAGAGTATTCGCAGGGTCAGTCCCTGCTGCTCGTCCCCTTTCCCGAGTGACCAGTCCTGTGGCTTCCCTTTGGGTGCCAGTGTCCACACTGTCTCGTCCACTCTCTCGCTCTCCCTGCGCGGATTCCTCCCAGTGGGAACCCGTGTTCCATTGCTTTTCTGTTTCTTTGTCCTGTTCCCTGGACATTTGCAGCCAGATGATGTTTCCTGCAGTTGCTGATTGCTGTCAGGGCTCCCTCCCCTGAGGATGGCAGGCCCTCCCTCCCTGTGGCTGCTTCCAACCCTTCCCTTCCCGCCAGGTCCGCCCCTCCTCCCCTCTGCCCTCCAGGCAGGTGGCTCTCCAGGCAGGCTCAGCCTCTGCACCCTTTCCTCTGCTTGGCATTAACTCCAACCCCAAACTCTTCCCTGCCCTTTGCATCCCAGCTCACTAAGCAATGCGTCCCCAAACCAACCTGCCCTCAAGCGGGCTGTACCTGTGCCTCCCTCCAGCGCGCCTGCTAACCGCTCACCCCCACCTCTCCCCTGGGTCAGCTGCACCTGTGGTGCAGAGAGAGCATCTGGGCAGCAGCGTAGGTAAACGCCTGGTTCTGCGGGAGGGGGCGCAGTGCAAGTGGGAGGAAGGAGCAGGGGAGCTCCCTGGTCCCCAGATTCTTGTCTATCTAGAGGGAAAAGAAGAGCCTGTTACCTGACAAGAAGCAATTATTTTGTTTGCTTGTTGGGTGTTTTGTTGTTTATTGTTTTACTTTACCTTCCTCTTGATGGAGGCAGAGATGGGCGGAAGGGTGGAGAGATCATTGGCATTAAGGTGATCATTGCCTGGTCACCTCAGGCCTGAAGAATAAAGAATGAGGCGAGCCTGGCTGGCATGGCTCAGTGGCTGGCGTCAACCTATGAACCAGGAGGTCAGGGTTCTATTCTCGGTCAGGGCACATGCCTGGGTTTTGGGCTCAATCCCCAGTGTGGGGTGTGCAGGAGGCAGCTGATCAATCACTCTTTCTCATCACTAATGTTTCTATCTCTCTCTCCATCTCCCTTTCTCTCTGAAATCAATAAAAAATATATATTTTTTAAATTTTTAAAAAAAGAGTAAGTTGAGGGTTTCAGGTTGTGGTTGCTTCTATTGTTCATCCACAGAATAGAGAAAGGAGCTAGTGCCGTCTGGCCCTCTGGTGAGACGGTCTTCCCCTTGCAGATCACTGTAAATATTTCTTTTCTTCGTCCAGTGCAGCTAGAGAGCAGTTCGGTTCCTGAATAGGGGTTGCTGGGAATTGAGAAAATGAAAGAAAGACAGACACAGAGATGGAAGGAAAAAGCTGGGGCTGGGTGGGACCACTGTCCTCTGATAGAGAGACAGGGACCCAGAGCCAATACAGCGCATTCATTTTATACAACAAAAACCAGGGAGTTTTACTAAAGGTCAAGACAAAGGAGATTATGTGCATTCTTGGGTGGGCCCGGGTCATATTCATTTCCTGGTGCTTGGCTGGATTTAGATAACAAAACCCACCCCCTGGTGCCTGGGCTGAAGGTCAAGCTGATAACACTCTTGCCTCTGGCAAGGCATGTTTCCAGGACGTGGCTCTGCCAACGCCACTGGATTCAGCTGACAATAATTAAAGAAATGCCCATGTGCCTTCCCAGGCGCTCTCTACAGATCACCAGCTGTGGGGTGACACTCATCCTGAGCAGGGGCACCTACTACCGCCTGTGGCCTTCCCTTTGCTCCCCCCACCCCCGTGGGGAAGACCTGCTCCAGGGCCCTCCCAGCCTTTTCACCAAACCCCGGTGGGACGAGCTGTATATTCCTGGCTCTGTCATTTAGAGTTTCTAACAAATTTAGGAAGAAATGGCTGTCGCTACTTGTGGAGAAGAAATAACCATTGCGCAGGATTTAGGTTTCCACACTTCCCGTGTCCTGTGTGAGGGCATCAGAGTCCAGGTGGGTTCTCACTAGGATGAAGTTAGCTCCCAACTCCAGGTCACCTCCTGGTTCTCTAGGGGCTGCCTGCAGCATTCTGCTGAAACACGTTAAAACCCTGGCCTGTTTGGTTCAGGGGGTAGAGTATTGGCCCTAGGACTGAAGGGTCCTGGGTTCAGTTCCAGTCAAGGGCATATACCTTAGTTGCAGGCTTGATCCTTGGCCCCGGTCAGTGCAGGTGTGGGAGGGAGGCGACCAATTGATGTCTCTCTCTCACATTGATGTTTCCCTCTCTCGCCCTCTTTTCCACTCTCTCTAAAAATCAATGGAAAAAATATCTTTGGGTGAGGATTAACAAAAAAAGAAAGAAAAAAACACATGAGAATGGAGATCGATTGGTAATGTCTGCCATGGATGGCATGTTGGGGGATGGTAGGGAGCAAGGAGTCAGTATTGATTAGCTGGCCCTGGTCTGGGGGTGGACTATGAGTAGGGTGCACTTTATCCTTAGGAGGCAGCCTGAGGAAGAGCCAGCAGTGAAGGGTGGGCCCTCCTTTGGGACCTGGAGGTTCAGGGTGTCCCTTGATCAATTGAAGGGGCTCCAGAGGCCCCCGGTGCCATTGGCCCTGGTCCCCTCCAAGCATGGGGGGCTGGGACTGAACTGCCCACATTTGGGAGCACAGCCAGCTTCTGTTCCAACCTTACCATTGCTGGGATCTCCTGAGTTTGAGGATGGGTCCCCAAAGTCCTCCCCTGCTTGGGGGCTTTATGGGGGTTCAGGGAAAGCAGCTGGAGAGTGGGGAGCCATGGCCACGCAGTCATCAGACCTCACTCGGCACACGGGCTCTGCTGTGCTGTGGATTCAGGGGACAAAGCTCTTCGGTGTCCCAGTTCGCGAATGTCCAGGTCCCAGTGTGGCTCACAGGACAGAGGGGGAGGTGCCCGGGGCCTGCTGCCCGTCGCTCATAGTCTCTGGTGGTGAGGGAGCTGGCAGCCAGTGCCAGGCAGAGGAGGAGGTAGGGCCCAGCCATCAGAGCCCCAGGAGGGCCAGGCACCGCCAGGGTCGTCTGGGAGGCTGAGGAAGGGCCTGAGACACCCAGAGCCAGGCAGACCGCGCTGGTGAGACAGGCACGTTCTGCATCCACGGGGAGGTGCTGAGTGGCCTCTTGTGTGTTTGTGTTTCAGCGCTTCTAGAAGCAAGGAGCTTTCTCCAGGATCTGGGCAGAAGGGAAGTCCGGGTTCCAGCCAGGGGGCACCCTGTGCCGGAACGCCAGCAGGCACCAGCCCCGGCCCGCAGCCGGCTGACCAGAGCCCTCACACTCTCCGGAAAGGTACGTCCCGCCTGGGGCTGATGGCTGCCCGCTGCCTGGAAACTCACTTCCCCACCAGCCTGGGTGCTCAGACACCCTGTGGCCTAGCGAACCGGTCCCCATCTGTGCATTAGCGGTTAGAGGTCGACCAGCTCTCAAAGGGACATTTCATCACCTTTCCTCAGTTTCCTCGTTTGAGCAGTGGGCTCGTCAGGCGGGTTGAAGGTCTGGCTTTCTGTACACCAGGACCTCTGCCCGGGGTGATGCGTGCCTTCCAGGCCCCGCCAGGCCCCCGCAGCCATCTGTTGTGCGGGGCCTCCTGCCCCCAACCGGGCCTTACCCAGCTGCCTGCCCCTGGGTTGTTTGTGGGATGTGACCAAGAGGGGAACCACTGGCTTGTCCCGGAGTCCTGCCCTTCATATTTATGTCTTAGAGCTCTGGGAATTCCTGTGCTAAGCCCTCGCCGCCCACCCCAGAATCTGCCATGAAAGGCACTGTAAAGGCCATTCCCTCTGAAATGACCCCCAAGCTGACGACCTGCTCCTGGTGACGGTTGACCAACAGGGGCCGCGGGGAGGGGAGCGTACCCAGCCTTTCTGTTCGCTTTCATCTATGCTGTCATTTTTCAGGCTTCACATTGTCTAAAGGAGCCTTTGTTGGCTCCTTTGTTGGAGCCTTTGTTGGCTTTGTCCTCGTTCTGGCCTCTCCAGCGCCTCAGAGGGGCTGCAGCTCCAGGGCTGGGGGCCCAGGGCTGGTCACCTTGTCCATGCACACCTTTAGGGCCGGTAGCTTTCCCCCTGCCCGGCGCCAGGCCACAGCGGCACCCATGACCCTAGTCTGCCCTCAGCAGCCTTCCTTCTGTCCCTTCCCATCATGCCTCATGCACTCCACAAATAGTTGTTGGGCCCTACTGTGTGCCGAGCTCAGAGGGTGTAACCGTAGCAGGTGCACAGTAGGGGTGTAACAGCAGCAGGCGCAGCTCTCAGGAAGGTGAGCGTGGAGCGGTACCGCAGGTGGTAGTGTGGGCACTGCTCACATGGACCCTTCCACACACAGGCGCTGGGCCGCAGCGGTGGGCTGGGGTTTCAGCATCCAGGGTTCCTCCGGCACCCATAGGGTTCCCTGTGGTCTAGAAACAGTTCTTTGGTGGTTTGTGTGCAAGGCCTAACCCTCCCCAGCCCTACACTGGGGTGATGGCTAAGCCATCACTTTGTCCACAGGAGTCAGGGCTCCTCATGCCAGCGGCAGGCTGGGCTTCCCTCCTCACAGCAACAGGGCCTCTGGGGGACTCAGGTCCCTTCCCAAGGGCGTTTGGTAGCTCGGTCACCACTGAAATATGCAGCTTTCTCCGCCTCCTCCACAACTGGCACACTTGGCAGTTTTAACACCTCTGTCTTTTGGCATCACGGCCTTGTCCTGTAACTTCCCGGAGTGGCGATGTCACACAGACGTCTTGGTGCTGTCACTGCTCCCCTCGGCACCTTTGGGAGAAGACAGGTTCAAGCATGGTCCCTGGTCCCCACCTGCTCCTCACCCGGGGAGCAAGTCCCACCCGGGCCGGCAGAGCTGCGGGTGGTTTATTAAGTCAGGATTATACGGGGCTTCCTGCACACGGTCTCATTGCATCCCTGCCTGCTGTGGAGAGATTTACGGGCGTGCCCCGGGGCACAGTGGGAAGATGGAGGCATTTGGGCCACATTGATTGACCCTGGAGAACATGTGCTTGCCTTGTCCACGCTGCACACGGAAGGAGCCAGGGCCGTGCGTGAGGTGCGATCAGCATAGGTTTTCCATGGAAGGGGGGGTCCCTGAGGCCTCCTTGGGGCTAAAGGACAATCTCTTCTGGAATTAGTGGCACCACAGGCAGCCCCACTGGGCTGATAGGTTGCCCTGGATGTTCCCACTTCTCATCCTCCCGGCCATTTCCAGTTCGAAGTGAAATGTAGTTGTCATCCTCCAGCAGGACTAAGTCAATACACAGGGACATGGAGGCCTGCAGAGGAGGTCGGGGCACGCTGTGCCCTGTGCACAGGGTGGAGGGCAGGGCGGGCGGACGGCAGTGCTGGGCGCCGGGCCTCTGTGGCCCACCTACAGGCTATCGGTCACTGAGGCCAAAGGTCAGCTTCCGATGCTGACAGTCGCCCATCCTGGGCCCACCGTCACATGTTGAACTCTGATTGTCGTCTGGGCTGTGGCACTGGCTCACTCTTCCTTGGGCCACCGATCCCTTTGTCACCCCAATGGTGACTGGCGCTGGGAAGCCAGCCACGGCCTGTTGGGGGGAAATGTGTCTGTATACTGTTGTGTGTGTGTGTGTGTGTGTGTGTGTGTGTGTGTGTGTGAGAGAGAGAGAGAGAGAGAGAGAGAGAGAGAGAGAGAGAGAGAGAAAGGAGAGGGAGAGAGGGCAGGAATCCAGAGAAGAGGAGTAATTAGTGAACAGAAATTAGGGAGGACATGAAAACTTGCAAGTCTAGGTGAATTTTTAAAAATTGTGTTGCCTGCTCTCAGGGTGCCAAGGGCTGGAGTGGCGAGGGGTAGGAGGGGGTGAGGGGTGCGCCAACCCCGCATGGACCCCAGGCGTCATGGAACAACCTTGTGTGTTGCTGTTGTGTTTTCTCTTCCAGTTTCCAAGAAGCTGGCACCGATTCCGCCCAAGGTCCCCTTCGGCCAGCCAGGCGCTATGTCGGAGCTGCCCACCGGCCAGCCGTCCCCACTCAGCCTGTCGCCTACGCCCCCGAGCACCCCGTCACCCTACGGACTCAGTTACCCGCAAGGGTACCCCTTGGCCTCGGGCCAGCTCTCCCCGGCGGCAGTGCCCCCTCTGGCCTCTCCTTCCAGCTTCGCCAGCACTTTAACCAAATCTCGGCCCACCCCGAAGCCCCGGCAGAGACCCACGCTGCCGCCCCCGCAGCCGCCCACGGCGAGCCTCTCCGCCTCCAGCCCGCAGTCCACGGAGCACCCCGTGCTCGACGGCATGGCCCCCGGGGAAAGCATGTCCACAGGTAACCACGCCCAGCTTCCTCCATTTTCCACGAACTTGAGCACAATGGGCCGAGGGAGGGCTGCTGGTGCCACTGCCTGTCAACAACCCGTTTGCCGGGGCCGGCTGTGCTGGTGCCAACGTAGCTCCCCAGGGGATCCCCTGAGATGCCCCTGCAGCCGGTGAGAGCAGCTCGGGAGGGACCCAGCTGCCCTGCAGCGGGCCTCTGTGGGGGTCTCCCAGTCCAGCGCCCGCAGCCAGGGCTCTGCGTCAGCCCTAATTTGGGGGCTGAGCGCCCGAGCTCCTGGGAAAGCTGGAAGCTGGGAGAGATGGCAGACCCGCTGGCACCTGAGCACAGTGTGCGGGAGGCCTTCCCCATGTCTTCAGAAACCCTACGACAAAGAAATTTCCTTTTATATTGAATAAGCCTAATAGAA